TCAAAGCCTTGCAAAAGTGTGTCGATCGGACTAAAAATACACCCATCATTCATCGAGCTTCAAACAAGTAGTTTAAAAAAAAAACCCGCTGTGATGTTTAAGCGAAGAATGAGATCCGCTGTTGTCCGTGTAAGGTTGATATTGTTGTAGCATCGATCTCTTCAGTACCAGACCCTAAGGAGAAAACATAAATCGGCGCTTGGGAAATGTTTTTTTTTATAACCGTTTATAGAATAAAATCGTCGCGTACAAGCAATAGGACAACCCCTCCCACCTCTGAGTGTAAGACGCGCGGGATTGAAGATCGAACCGTGCGGTGTTTCTTATTGAAGTAGTCCGGACGTTCGCAAACACATCACGTTCGATACCCGGGTTCGATGGATGACGGGTTGGACCCGGACCAACCCGGGTCTTCACCAGCTAGCAACCCGCAAGTCGATACCGCACGTTTTTTTTTATCGCACCTCGGATTCTAGTCCCTAGCGATCGAAAAAAATTCCTCCCTCCCCCCCACCCCGCGTCTAATCCCGTCCCCCACAGAGCCCAGCAAATCCGTTGACCGGGTTCTGGAATCCAATGGAGCGTCATCAAATGAAATTGTTTCCTACTTGCTGGGGAGAAATTGATGTTGATTTTCCTCCCGAAAACCTCCCCTCATTGATTCAATACTGTTTCCTCTTGTCTCCGGCTTGCCGCTGTAAAAAAAAAAAAAAAAAAAAAAAAACATGGCTAACTCTGTTTATTGGCTTGGAAATAAACTCTCCACAGGATGTGGCAAGGGGAGAGAAAGCAGATTACGTCCCTTTATTAATTTTCTCACGCTTTGGTTTTTAAAAAAAGGGGGGAAGGGAGATAAATCGGAGTAAGTTAAAAAAGGGAGATAATCAACAGCTGTGATGAATGGATGTGACATTGCAGATTGCGGTTTGACATTAATTATTGATTGATTAAATTTTGATGAGGCTTCCTGATTGTCAGTTTTTGGGGGACTGTTTAGGTGAGGTAGAGTACAGGTTTGATCGTGACTGACTCGATCACTGGGCATGACTGATTAGCCAGATTTTAAACAGTTTTCATTCATTTGTTGTTGTGTTGGTTTTTTTTTGGGGAAGGGTTAAATTCAGGGCGTCTTAGGATGGGGCTTGTTTCAGTAAGGTCGATGGGGTGGGGCGGGCGGGGAGGGGGGATGGTGGTGAAAGGAAGTGATGAAGATGTGGATTTAAGCGGCTGATGTGGATTTAGGTTGCTGATGAAGGTGTGGATTGGGTGTGGTTGGTGTGGACAATGGTTAATGTTGTGGTTATTGTTGATATTGATAGTGTGGATTTCGTATGGTAAATTGCGCTTGATGATATTGTTAATTCAAGAAGAAAATAACGGATATAATTTGAAATGATCTATCTGAGCAGTTTCATCTAAGCTTTTAAAAAAACGAGAATAAACACTTATAATAAAGATTTGAAACGACGCCACATTGTAGGCCTATAGGCATAAGAAATAATAGACGAGTATTGACGAAACCATAGTTACATTGCAACAAAATAAAATAGCATTGATGTAAGAATTAATGAACATTGATGTAAGAATTAATGAATATTGATGTAAGAAAGCACCGAAATAATTTTTGTCTCACTAAGAAAATAAATGTGTTAATTTATAAACAAAGGGTTGTTTTTCTGTCCTAGCACCTTTCGACTTGATTCACTTCTATAGATTGTTTCTTACAGACATCTGTTCGGGGGACACCGACCCCTCCCCCCCCCCCCCCCCCCCCCACCATCGAAGCACGTTTACAGCCCCATCCTCTAACGAATTAACATGTCGAAAATATATACGTTTACAAGTGTCCGACCACCGGAAAATTTAGTCCGCTTCCCCCCCCCCCCACCCCCTCCCCCCGAAAAGTTTCAAGTGTTCCCCTGTAAAAATAAGTCTGAAAGAAACACCGCTTCTATACCATATGGTCGGTTGTCTGCATGTATTATTTTATGTTAAAGATATGTAATATTGATAATATTTTCCCATTAAATGCACATACAAGACAATGTTTTTTTAAAAATTGGACAATGAATAAATTCAGGTTATAATGAAACGGATACTGCTAAAATATTGTAGCTACTTCCTTAGAGTTAAGAGCTAAGAATATTATAAAAATAGAACTCTGGAACTCTTGTAACCTGAGGTTTAAAAAGTTGAGGTATCTGATGCTGGTGGTGGGTGGTTGTTGTGTGGCGTCCACCACTCACTCGAGGGCTTTGTACCAGCAGACACGGTCGATACGGCAACAACAACAAAACTATCAGATCTTTTAAACGTGGAAAAATAATCACATATGATCCAAAATATCTTACAAAAATAGTTTTTAAAAGTTATATTAAATGAGTATTCGATTAAAACAAACAACTAATTTAAAATAAACAAGGGACTTGAAGTATTTTAAAAGGAAATTAAATAGTACAAGTAAATTATTCTAAACAAAAAGTTTAGAACTAATAAATGACTGAATATGACAAATTATATAGTTTCTTTGATTTTTAAATGTCGAAAAACGAGCAAAAATTGAAAGAAGTTTTCTGATGCATTTGTAATGTCAAATTGTGTTAACGTGTAACCCATGTAGTTTTGTTTAACCATTTTTAAAATAGTTTATTTGTCATTGTCTTCAAACATATTAAATTTTTGATTTAATAGTGACATAGTCAAAAGTAAGCAATAAAAGTGATTGGAATCTAGTCGAAAAATAGCGAAATAAAAAAGAATATTTGATGTTTATAATTTGAGTGAGACCGGTATATTGCGGTTATTACAACTTGAGTGTTTAAAATAAATCTTTAACCGACAGGACGGAAACACCAGACCGTATTGAACCTGGGAGTAGTCACGTCAAGCCCCGCCCCTCACCCCCTTCCCCCCATCACCCTATCTGTCTGATCATCTCAGATGGTATGCAAATTTAACTTTGGCAGACGATAAACGTTGAAACCTCACATCGACATAGCGACGCCAAACTGTGACGTCAGCCGTGTCAAAACTAAACATTTATGTCTTTGTTGGGATTTAGATTTTGGTTAAAAACTAAACTAAACATTTATGTCTTTGTTGGGATTTAGATTTTGGTTAAAAACTAAACTAAACATTTATGTTTTTGTTGGGATTTAGATTTTTGTTAAAAAAACTAACCATTTATGTTTTTGTTGGGATTTAGATTTTTGCTAAAAAACTAAACATTTATGTCTTTGTTGGGATTTAGAGTTTTGTAAAAAAACTAAACATTTATGTCTTTGTTGGGATTTAGAGTTTTGTAAAAAAAACTAAACATTTATTTCTTTATTGGGATTTAGATTTTTGCTAAAAACAAAACATTTATGTCTTAGTTGGGTTTTAGATTTTTGTTAAAAAAACTAACCATTTATGTTTTTGTTGGGATTTAGATTTTTGTTAAAAAAACTAACCATTTATGTTTTTGTTGGGATTTAGATTTTTGCTAAAAAACTAAATATTTATGTCTTTGTTGGGATTTAGATTTTTGCTAAAAAACTAAACATTTATGTCTTTGTTAGGATTTAGATTTTTGCTAAAAACAAAACTAAACATTTATGTTTTTGTTGGGATTTAGATTTTTGTTAAAAACAAAACTGAACATTTATGCCTTTCTTGGTATTTAGATTTTTTGTTAAAAAAAAAACATTTATTTCTTAGTTGGGATTTAGATTTTTGCTAAAAAACAAAACTAAATATTTATGTCTTAGTTGGAATTTATATTTTTCTTAAAAACAAAACAAAACATTTGTGTCTTTGTTGGGATTTAGATTTTTCTAAAAAACAAAACATTTGTCTTTTTTGGGATTTAGATTTTCGCTAAAAACAAAACAAAACATTTATGTCTTTGTTGGGATTTTATTAAAAACATAACATTTATGTCTTTGTTGAGATTTAGATATTTGCTAAAAACAAAACATTTATGTAATTGTTGAGATTTAGATTTTTGCTAAAAACAAAACAAAACATTTATGCCTTTCTTGGGATTTAGATTTTTCTTAAAAACAAAACATTTTGTCTTTGTTGGGATTAAGATATTTGCTAAGAACTAAACATTTATGTCTTTGTTGGGATTAAGATTTTTCTAAAAACAAAACTAAACTTTTATGTCTTTGTTGGGATTTAGATTTTTGTTAAAAACAAAACAAAACATTTATTTCTTTGTTGGGATTTAGATTTTTCTTAAAAACAAAACAATACAAAACATTTATGTCTTTGTTGGGATTTAGATTTTTGTTAAAAACAAAACAAAACATTTATTTCTTTGTTGGGATTTAGATTTTTCTTAAAAACAAAACAATACAAAACATTTAACTCTTTATTGGGATTTAGATTTTTGTGTGCTAAATACAAAACAACATAAAATAGCTTCATAGCAAAAAAATTAACGTCCATAATTTGTATTGTATAATAAAATCAGTATGTTATTAATATGCCTGTATAGACCTAAGTAAAAAATATGAAATAAACGCATTAAGTTTTAAAAAAAAATCTTTTACAATTGTTAAATTTATTCTCAAATCATAAATAAATATGTAAAACGATCTTAATACCACTAGCCTTATATGTTGGCATACTAACAACTTTCCTTGTCTAAAATAAATAAAAACAGGTCGATATTTGTTTTAAAAAACTTGTCTATTGAAGACAATTGATATCTGACATACATTTATAACAATATAAATACACTGACGATGTATTACGTTATTTCAAATAAATTATACCTTTATCAGCAACTCCCAAGTGCCGTCGCTTTATAAAGAGCAACCCGTTTTACACATGAAAACAAATTACGTTAAATATTGTGTGTGAAATGTCTGTTGTTTTTTTTGTCGTGACTTTGACAAGTCTGTTTTTGACTAATTTTGTAACAAGCTTTTTCTTCTCTCCCTCCCCCTCCCCACTCCGTGTACTTGACACTCCACGTGTACTTGACACTCCACGTGTACTTGTCACTCAAGTTACCGTCATCAAACTTTACAGACCTGATCAGCAACCATTATGTAAGTGACGTGTTGTCGTGTCTTCTTCTCTTCTCACCTGGGGGGGGGGGGGGTGGAGAGACAGGGAGGCAGAGGAGAAAGGTAGGGAGGGTTGGGAGGATGTTGAGGAAATATGGAACGAGAGGATAGAGATGGGGGGGGGGGATTGTGGAGAGAAAGAGGGAGGCAAAGAGAATGGGAGAGAGTAGGGGAGAGGGAGATATTTGTGAGGAACGGAGGCAAGGAATATAGGAGAGAGAGAGAGAGAGGAGAGGGTGGATATATTTGGGAGAAAATGAGGTAAGGAATGTGGTAGGGAGAGGATAGAGTGGACATATCTGAGAGAAAAGAGGGATGGAGGGTTGGGATATAACAGGTATAGATGATTAGATGAGAGAGGTTATTAGAAAGAAACGTGGGAGTTTTACAACTAAACTCCTCACTAAATATGGGTAGGTTCACTGGGTAGGTTCACTGGGTAGGTTCACTGGGTAGGTTCACTGGGTAAGTTCACTGGGTAGGTTCACTGGGTAGGTTCACTGGGTAGGTTCACTGGGTAGGTTCACCCAGGTTGCTGGTTTGGATGGAAAATTTTCTCCCCTCTTTGTGATTGTTTTTTTAACTCTTAAGTAAGTTATTGGATTTGTGTCTGCTACTTAAATATGTCTCGATGATAAATCACAACATAATCTACCGTGGTTTTGGGATGGTTATATAGTGTGATGTTGTGGTGTGGTGTTGTGTTAAATGATGGCGCCGGATGGTGTGTAGACTATATTGTAGATAATACTGTTGATCGCGAATACAGATATTTTAAATAGACAACATCACAAACATTTAAAAATCACGCATCTTGTTTAGTATGAGACCATTTAATAAAACACATAATTTTAGATCTGACAATCGTATGATGCGACACACCAAATATGTAAGGGTTAGCCAGGGATTAATTCATTCGTCTGTCTGTAGGTAGCTCATGTTTTATTCATATTTAGATTAACTATATGCAAGCACATCAAGTAATAACTACAGAATATTTAAACAAGGCAATTCGTTATACATATACAATGTTATTAAGTTGTTGTTTTTTGTAGTTTTAAGTCATGTGGTAATTTTAAATCTGGTTTAATATTATATTTTACTGTGTTTAAACACACACACACACACACACACACACAAACACGCACACACACAAACGCACACATAGTGTGAATCGGCGGGTGTGTGTGTGTGTGTGTGTGTGTGAATCTGTGTGTAAGATACAAAAGGATAACTTTACAAATACCTCATAACTGGACGTGACATTTAAAAATATTTCTATTCTAAGGCGTCTCAACTTGCCCACTGAGCTGGAATAAATATGTCGATCGCTAACAGTATGCACACACACACAAGGACACAAATACACACACACAAACAGACACACACACACACACACACACAGATACACACAAACAGACACACATACACATAGACACACACACACAGAAACACGCATACACATACACACACAAATAGATACACACAGACACATACACACATACAAAAACAGACTCACCTACACACACAAAGACACATACATACACACACACAAACAGACACACACATACACACATACAAACTTATGTGAGCAGTTCATACACATACACTGGTCAACTCTACATACAATACATTCTCACCTGAACAAATCAAAATACAAAACCTACCCACCCCCACAAAACCTATCCACCTCTTTAAAACCTACCCACCCCCACAAAACTTATCAACCTCCAATAAAACCTCCTATAAAACCTAACCACACTCACAAAACCTACAAACCTCAAATAAAACCTCATATAAAACCTACAAACCTCCAATAAAACCTTCTATAAAACCTCCTATAAAACCTCCTATAAAACCTACCCACCCTTACGAAACCTACCCCATTTCCTGCCTCTTGTTATAAAAGACATTTATCCCTCCTGTAAGCGATACCGGCGATTAGCAGTTTCCTAAACACCTGAAATGTCACCTGATCAAATGTCATGTTTCTAAATGTCATGTAATGTCTCAGTGCTTACACCATCACAGCAATCAGACATGCACACTTGGGCATGTAATTGTAGGGCACTTCATTCCCCAGGTGTAAAGAGGGAGGGGGAGTAAAATATGTTTGGAGTTACAATATGGAGATACATTACACCTACTTAACACTCCCCTATAGATTTGAAAAATCCATCTACAATTAGAAGCACCTAGCACAAAAACGGCCTTATCGCCCCTTCTAATTTAGAGGCTTATACACTGATACAAATTACAACCTGCAACCCCCCACCCCTCCCACACACACCTTTCCTCTAGATTACGAAGCTATTTACCAGAGACCGGAACTAAGTTGTAAGGACCTGACATGAATGTATGGAATATTACTTTTTAAAACTCACACATCACCTCACACAATTATTTTTCACACTCTTATCCCTCACATTCTCTTCTACCCACATCTCTCTCCACACCATCTACCCATCCCCACGCCCTCCTCCCCACCATACTACCTCTGCACTCGCAATATTAAACTCTCCCTCCTCACACCCTCCCACAATTTTCATCCTATTCTCTTTCCGCCAGAACTATCCCAATATTTTTCTACCTCCACCCTCTTATCCCTCCATTACATCCTCCCTCTAAACTCTCCTCCACCCCCTCCTCCACATTATCCACCCTCTATACCCTTCTTCCACAATTTCCTCCATACACACCCTCATACCTTGCAATATTTCCCGCTCCATCCCAACCCCCCTCCTCCTACATTTGGCTCCATCATCGCCCCCTCCCTCCCTCCATACCCACCTCCATTGCTACATCCTCCTCCTTTCCACATTTTTCTCTTTTTACACCCTCCATAACCTCCATGAACACTCTCCACCCCAACCCCCACCCCTTGACCGAACCCCTCAACTAATGAGGATGCCGACCAAGACGAGCAGGGGGCGTTAAGGTGTTAAAAAAATAATCGATATTTTAAAATATCTGTGAATATTTTGAAAAAAAAATATCAAAGTACAAAATATCCGTTCATTTGCGACACATTGGGTCGTCACTAGACCCCATAAAGGCTGTTTTAGACTAAAACCTGGGCTTTTTAACTGATGGGACTCATTACTTGTGAGTTAATCTCTGCTTATTGTAGATTAGAGGGAACTCATAGTCTATGACTTATAGAAACGAATATGAAATGGCGTGGCCGGATGGTAGTGCGCGCGACTGCTAACCCTATAGTCTCTAGTTCAGGTCCCTGGCCTTAGTCTATGGAACACCCTGTCCACCTATATCTGAACCCTACATCTTCATATGTCGAGGTAAAAAACCCGATGAACTCGTTTTATCTGCCTTTTGGAAGCTAGTTTGACTAGGTCAATTTAGAAAAGTATGTGAAATGGCAGCTATTCCTAAAACTAATTTTAAACCTAAAAGTTAGAAGCTAACAACTACGATACTAAGTAATGGCAGCTATTCCTAAAACTAATTTTAAACCTGAAAGCTAGAAGCTAACACCTACGATACGAAGTAATAAAACTTGACAAATACGAAACTTTTTTGTAAAAAAAAAATCGCTACGAAACTAACTAGTAAAACTGACAGCTAAATCGCGACATCCCTATCCCACGTGACACTAAAAACCAATCACCAGCCTCCATTTCAAAATAAACAATTTATTCACATTCGATCAGATTCACCGCCGTCTCCATTACATACTTTACCCCACCGACACAGCAAACAGCCCGGGGGGATAACCACAACAACACAACCCCCACCCCCACATCCCCACCCAGGGACGATTATCCCAGGTATCCATTAAAAAACATTTCACGGTGGATGATGCAATTTTTGTTTCTTTTACGACCATTTCTCTCAATCGTTTCTTTCCTTTATAGTGGGTTCGGTTTGCGGTGTATTTTCTTAATCGTTGGTTAGGTTTTAGGTGGTAAACACACGCCCTAGAGACATGGAATTTAACTTGGTAATGTCGACGGGGGGGGGGGGGGGGATAAATGTCAACTAGTATGGTGTTTTATACGGCCCGTAGGTGCACTTTGTAAGGTAAATTTAGATGCGCACCTAATCTAACACGTTAAAGGTATGTAGGTATGTAGTAGCCTAATGTAGCCCAAAATGTTCTATAACTTTGTACACATAAGGGTACATAATTCGTAACACCTACTGACTGCCAAACATTATTAGAAACATAGTACATATACATAACATTTTGCGCTTAGTACCACATATACATAACATTTTGCGCTTAGTACCACATATACATAACACTTGGCGCTTAGTATCACATATAGGCCTACACAATTTTTTGCGCTTAGTACCACATATTCATAACATTTTGCGCTTAGTACCATATATACATAACATTTTGTACCCTATGCCATACATACAGTTACATATCGCTACGCACTTATTAATATTATCACACAAAATGATCGCATAAATAAAATAATTGTTCCATCTTAATTGGGGGCCTAACTAGGAATCGTTAGGTTTAACTTGAGTTTGTGGCATCCCAATACTTCATTATATCACAGACATGCATAATTTCAAATGCTGACGATTATTTTTGAAATTAAAAAAAAAAAAACCGAGTCATGTTTTTAAAAATAAAAGTATCACGAGTATAAAGATTGGCCACTAATCTATTCTCTGTATTGTAGATGCCGTTGTCATGGGCAACAAATTGAAGTCACGTTGGAATGTGAACTTTCACCCGTGTAATCAGTATGCAAATTTACTTTTAGAAGGGGGGCCCATGTTTTGATAGTAAAATATAATTAATTAATAATAGGCCAATCTTCATCGCGTTGGTGTGGAGGGTGTAAGGGGCGGTAATCCCGTTCTATTTTACCCTCGTCTCAAGTCGTCTCTTCAAATATAATGGAATAAAAACACACGGCCACAAACCGGAGACCGGAAAATCACGGCTAGGGGTAGATGAGACGGGGCGGGGGAGGGGAATTTTGTGCCGTTTCCCATTCTAA